TCCCTCTCTCTCTTTTTTTTTCCTTTTTTTTGTTCACTCTTTAGGGAGAAAGACATTCTAGAATTAGGTTAAAATGGTAAAAGTAGGGCTTTTTTTTTTTTGACTTGGGCTTCTTTATTTATTTATATTTGGAAAGTAGACTAGAAAATGGGGGAAGAAAATAAAATTTTGGCTCATTGGATATAGAAATTAGATAGCCTCTAGGAAGAGACTTCCTTTGTTTTGGTATTTTTGACTTGGGCTTCTTTATTTATTTATGTTTGAGAATTAGCAGACTAGAAAATGGGAGAAGGAAATAAAATTTTGGCTCATTGTATACGGTAGAAATTAGATATCCTTTACGAGTAGACTTCTTTTGTTTTGGTCTTTTGGAGAACATTATTATTTTACAAAGGATGGTGATAGTGGCCCTTCCAGTCCACCTTATGTTCTCCTAATGCACGAATTGGAAAGATTAATATTTCTTACTTTCTCTCTTACTTTCGGTAAAAATGAAAAAAGAGAAGTTTCTTTGAGGTTATTCTTTTTTTTTTCTTTCTGTTTTTTCTTGATATTAGATGATAAATTATATAATAAAAATAATTTTTTTTCTCTTAATCCTTTTTTACTAATTTCAAGATTTGAATCCAAAATCTTCAACTTGAAAGTCTCTAAGTTTTTAACCATTTTAAACACACTTTGGGGAGCTAATAAGAACGTGTTTGGCTAAAAAACATTGATATAGACATACTATAGTTAGACATATTCTACAATACATTTATGAAAAATTATTATTATTTTGTATAAAATTAAAAAAAAATTTAAAAATACAATTATGCATACATTATGAAAGAACTAGCTAAATTGGTTACATTTATATTATATTTTGTGTGTGAGCATGTGTATAAACTAAAGGGAGTCAAAATGATTTTACTTCATTAAATGATGAAAACTAATTATACTTAATATGCTTTAAAATTTTGGTAAATTTCTCTTTAGATTAGGAAATAAAAAAAGAAATAGTGATTCTTAGGGTAGGCGTGGTAATAGTTGTGTTCATATCACATTATTAAAAATATTAATTTTGTTATAATTAAATTATTAATATCTTATATATTTTTAATAAAAGAAAAGTACATATTAGTCTTGATTTCCAAAATAAATTGGAATCCTAACCTTAAATTAGTCATTTTATTTAATTAAAACTTAATTTAAAATTTAAAAATTCATCTTATTAAATGTTGATAATTAAATTTGAAAATTGATTATATTATAATATATAATTGGTTTCTAAATTTAAGTATCAATATTTAGTAAAGTGAATTTTTGAATTTTAAATTAAGATTTTAGTTTCTAAATATAAATTATGACTCTAATTTCTTTAGGAGTCATTAGGACTGTTACATACTAATTTCTTTTGTTAATTATATAGATATATAATATTTTCTCAAAATTGTTATTAAAAAATGATCTTATTGACAATAAAATCTTATAACATGGCATGATATAATTATTATTGGCTCTTTTAATCATATTGTAAGTGTGAATCAATATAAATACACTCGTTTAATGTCTATAAATATTCTGAGATTTATCAAATATGAAATTTTCATTTTATGAACTAGAATCAAATTAACTAAAACTAAAATAGTTTTAAATCATAGTGACATCACTAAATAATGTAAGTTATGCTATAATTATAATATTACGTAAGATTGTAAATTTATAATTATAATATGATATTAAATGAGTATAATGTAATATTAAAAAAAAGTTGATACATATAATATTACAGGTAAACCCTCCGAATAAAACGAATTAATTATGTAACAACATATTATATTATAACTTGTAATCTTATAATGCCACGTAACACCCTAACTATAACATTTTTGAAATAACAATCTCAAATATAGCCTTATCCCTTATTCATTCTCTAATTGAGTAGAGTGTGATTAATTTTGAGGATATCTAAAATAAATGGTTTTTTTTTTTTTTTAATTAAGATTAGTGTTTAAGGCAGCCCTATTGCCACGGCCACAACTGTTAACACCACACCTTTTTTAAGTATTTGACTATTATACCCTTCGTTTGAATCCAACTCGCAGCAGTCACTACCTTTCTTGCGTTCTCTTCAGAACCTGTTTGCATCTTTCACCCTCAGAGAACCGCCATTAAAAAATTCTTGCTTTTTCTAGTTGATTTTGCTGATTCTCTCTTCCTTATTTCTTTGATTTCCCTTTTCCACATTCACTTTCCTTTCCCCTCCGTTGTTCTTCCCCCTCTGTAATCATTCGCATGGCTTTTTCCTCTCTTCAGTTTTCATTTCTAAATCCCAAAATCCCTATATATTAAAACTGAAATTTTCCCATTTAGGTGATTGATTTCTTGTTTACTGATTTCTTGTTTACTAATTCCTCTAATGAAATTTAATGAAGAAATAAAGTAATATTAGTAGGAGAATGTAATCTTTGTGTTGTCTCCAAAATCTTTCTTTTCGGCTGTGTGGTAGATAA